TCCATAGAACCAGCTTAGAAGATAAATGTTTACAGCCATAAACAGTCATTTGGGATAGGACATACGTACAGTGGCAGGAAGGTATTGATAGATGGTTTCCGTGGCCCTGAGAACCACCATTTGGAACTGATGATATTAAACAATTACTTCATATGACCTGTAACTCTCTTTTTTGAAGATGCATTTTGACGCCCCCACCTCCAATACTATAAATCTATTATTACCTCATCTTTCCTCATGAGAGTCCTGCAAACTACATAAAGGGTGGACATCTCTATTCACGGAACAGGTGAGGCAAGATAAATAATAGGATATTCCAGTATTCAACAATTTCTGGCGAGTCTAGAGGAAGGTAGTAGTCTAGATAAAACTGATGGCGGACTATTCTATATCTCAAAAAAATTTTTTTTAAGATTTTACTTCTTTATTTGAGAGAGAGAGAACGAGTGCACACACGAGCACAGGGAGGGGCAGAGGGAGAGGGAGAAGCAGGCTCCCCATTGAGCAGAGAGCCCGATGCGGGGCTCGATCCCAGGACCCTGGGATCATGATCTGAGCTGAAGGCAGATGCTTAATGGACTGAGCCACCCAGGCGCCCCTATATCACAAAAATTTTTTAAAAAATTAAATATGCTCGTGTCTTTTGTGCGTGCTGACTATGCAAGTCAAATGCTGATTGTGGCTTGAATGAATATTACTGGAGCTAACGAGGACTTTGTTTTTCATGGTATCTTTCCTAGTCCGAGGCTTCCTGACTCCTTTTGGGGAGCCTTTTTGAGGAACATGTATGCAAACATGCTGCCTAAAATGTAACTGCTCCTCTTTGCATCTCCCTCCTAATCCTTCAGAGAAACGACTCTCATCTTCATTTTTGCAGCTCGCACAGCACACATGTGAAATCCAGGCCTAGGATTCCACAATAAGAGCACTTTGATTTAAATTACCGTTCCTTCCTGCTCCAGCCCTCACAGCCAATGAGGCCTAAACCCTTCAGCTTTCTTTACCGGGTGAGAAAAACAAACCCGAGGAAGGCCCCTCGATTTCCTGCAGGGGACAGAGCTGCAGGTTGAATCTTAAAGCCATGGGAAAATTCTGAATTTAGACACCTGAGCCCTGCTGAGCAACTGAGCCAAAACAGACAGAATGGTTCAGCGTTTCAGAATCCAGTTTCACGGGAGAAAGAATCTCAACACCGGGGTGTGAGTGTGTGTGTACGTGTGCTGGGGGTTGGGCCTGGGGCAGGGAAAGAAGTGGAGGTTTGTCTGCTTTTCCTCCCCTGCTCTCATTCCTCTCATGTTGAGGGCAGTGGGAAGCACTGAGAACATTCTGCCTTATGCCTGGAAGTGACCCCTCTGTATACAGGGCAGTTGGAGGTGGGACCCCAGCAAGTGGGCCATCACCAGGCTACCCCGTGAGGCTACCATCTTCAGGGGTGCGCGGGCTCTTGGAAGAAGGGAGTGAGGGTAACAGAGAGTTGAGTTCCAGACTCCAGGACTTTCCAGAAGAGGCCCCCAAGTGGGGCCCATTTTTAGCACTAAGTAGTTTGACCAAGTTCCTATTAGGGTAATTCCAAGTGATTTGGCAAGCATGCTTTCAGTTAAGAAGGGCTATGGAACAGCCAAAGTTTAATTTGTGAAAAAAATCTGCACTCTCGCTTTCCTATTGAAAGACATACTCGCAAACACACACAGAAAGACTACTGTATTTTTAAAAAATAGCAGCATCTCGGGGCACCTGGGTGGCTCAGTTGTTAAGCATCTGCCTTCAGCTCAGGTCATGATCCCAAGGTCCTGAGATCGAGCCCCACATCAGGCTCCCTGCTCCATAGGAAGCCTGCTTCTCCCTCTCCACTCCCCATGCTTGTGTACCCTCTCTCGCTGTGTCTCTCTCTGTCAAATAAATAAATAAAATCTTAAAAAAAAAAAAAAAAATACCGGCATCTCTTGCAAGCACAGTACCTTGATTACTGACTTAAGCTGGAAATCTCATCGCAATTGAACATGGCAGAGAGAGCTTAACATCCCCCTCCCCCGTGTGCATCTGCTAGAAACAGACAGTGGTTCATCTTTAAGAGGTGCCCCTGAGCCCTGGGCTTTAAGGGGGAAAACAGCTTGCCAGAAAAAGCTATCACCTTCATGATGACACAGTGCTGAGAGGCATCTACAGGCTCATTAAAATGTAAGCCCCCGGATGACAGGAAATGCTTTTGAGCATTGTTTGCAACCTGGGCTGGTTCCAATATTAGTCTCCAGAATGCCCGATTTCAACAGACCATACTTAAGGCACAGGTCCCCAGTGTCAGCCTGGATCTTTCCCAAATTAGCTTTTTCTCAACTGGCTTTCACTTAGTACCACTGTTGGCCCCAGCTTTTCAAAGCCAGTCAGGATTTCAAATATCTTGTCCCATGGTTGTCTATGATGTGTTTGTGTGGGTCTCTGCATCTGGAGTTTGGACAGCACAGTAAATAATCAGGTATAACATTCTCCTTTTCACCGATAATCACTTTCCTTTCCCCATCCCGAAACTGTCTAGCATATAGCACTTGTCAGAAGTAATACTCATCACTGGAGTTTTTAATGGAGTGCTATCTGGGCCACATGCTGCCTGGGAAGGAACACCACTCATCTCCTCTAGGCTACCTGGCGTGGTCCACTGTAGGAAGAGCAAGAAGACGAGTCAGGAGCCCAGCCAGGCTGGGCATGTTGGAAATCAGGACACCGGGATGTAGGAGCGCTGTCAGGGTGTGTGCCCAAGCTACCCAGAACTCCTAACTTACCCTGCCTTACCCAGAGCCTTCTGCTCTTCCTCAAAAAAGCAGCATAAACCAGCAGCGGGGAAGCTACTCTCAGGAAGACTGACGTGACCCTGAATAAGTCACCTACGTTTTCTGGCCCAAGGGATCTCATGTGTCCTTTGAGGATGGCTGGATATACCCCACGGTTCCTGTGTTCTCTGAGTCTGAGTTACATTTTGATCTGAGTTAGTTTTGATTTGCAGCTCAAGACTAGGGAGATTAACCAGGTGGTAACTCAAGAGGAAAGGGTCTTGGGAATGTGTGAGGGCATCAGGAACCCAGTCCAGGCTCTGACTGGCTCAGGGGATTTTCAGGGTGTGGCTCCAGGTGCTCCCCACCCCATGCCACGCCGTCCTCCCTAAGAATGAGCCTAGCAACTGCTTGCCAGCCACTTCTCCAATAAATGAGATCTTCCTTTTCACTTCCTCCTAGACCCAAGTTTTAAGAAGCCACTAGAAAACCAGGTAGAGGGGCGCCTGGGTGGCTCAGTTGGTTAAGCGTCTGCCTTTGGCTCAGGTCATGATCTCAGGGTCCTTGGATCGAGCCCCAGACCCAAGCCCTGCACTGAGCTCCCTGCTCAGCGAGGAGTCTGCTTCTTCCTCTCCCTCTGCCCCTTCCCTTGCTCATGCTCACGCATGCGTGCTCTCTCTCTCTCCCTCTCAAATAAAATCTTAAAAAAAAAAAAAGGAAGAAAAGAAAACCAGGTAGAAACTGAAGGAGCCTCTCCAAAATGTAATGCTCTTACATCCTCTCTTCTGGGAGGGACAGAACTAAAGTCTCCACGTGGAGGTCATTACCCTGTCCTTCCTTATCTTGCCACCAATGCCATGACTGTGCCCTTCCTCACCTTCCTCCACTCACACCCTCTTTGAAAAAAAGTTTTTGCTGACCATCTTGGTTAAATACACTTATATGTACCCAGACACCTCTGTTCTGCCCAGTCCAAATTTTACTTCATGTAAATGACCAGCATCTGTTTTCTCCTGCCTGGGAGCTTGTGTGTCTCGTCCTGTAGTGATTCTCCACCGACCCAAACCTTGACCTGCTGTCAGCTCCGTATCACCTCAGCCCAAAGAAGTCTGAATGAAGCACGCCAGGCCAGGGAGTCGACGTCCAAGACTGAGAAAGCAGAAGCAGTCTAAGCCGAAATGTTCCAAGGCTCACACACAAAACAATACACACACACACACACCCCAAATCCTCATATTGCCCATCATTTCTATTAAAATTTAAAGCGCAGGCTTTCTGCAATCACAGTTGGTTCAGTTCTTTCAGGAAAATTCCTTTCTCCCCTCCATTTTATTCCTACACCAAACTCAATCACTGTGATACATTCCCTAAGGTCTCTTTTTAAAACATCCTAATTCTGGCGGCAGGACATCAGCACATGAAATAATAGATCAGATACAAAGACTCATCAAATGAATATCCTGTCCTAGGGCTTTTCATTTCTAAAGCCTTTTTTCTTTCAGTGGGCTCCAGCCCACGTCTCTATGCTCCCCGCACTGTCTGAAAATGTCTTCCTCCCAGGGAAGAAAGCTGGTCAACATCTCAAGCCCTGAGAAGAGTGGAGCTTTCTCCCGGCAAAGCGCTGCAGACTCCCTGGGCAGGCCCGCTGTCTCTGAGGAGGAACTAAGCCAGGAAGGAACACGACAGGACATGCCAAACCTCCTCCACGCTTTGAAAAGGTGATCCAGACTGGTTCAGAAGCAGCCCTGCGTGTTGTTAAGAGACTCCTAACCAACGTGTTAAGGGGGAGGCAAGAGGGGAAGGCAGCTTTTTTTGGTTTCTGACAAGACTCTTAAACTTGGAAGCACTTTTGTTTTCTAATCTTTGTGCCCCTTCCAAATCAGGATCCCCGGGACTCATTATTTGAGGGCCCGGCGCAGTAAGACGGATTATACCTTACCTAGAGACGTTCTGTATAACCAAAAAAAAAAAATGCTTCCTGCCTTTGTCCAGAAAATGAAGAGGTCTTTCAGAATAAAGAAAAGCAATTTAATTATCATTAAACAACGTTTAACTGCTGGGGGCAATCATCCTCTGCACTGAAGCATAATTTAACTTAACAGAAACCACAGTGACCCACAGCCCTCTCTAGCCCTCACTTGGCAATCGGTGGCCAGGAGCTGCTGGGGCAGGTGGCCAGCAGGTGAGAGACCCCAGGGAGGAACGGCAACCCCCAGAATCATGCCAGTGCTATACCTTGGTCTTCTCTGCTGCGCTACAGAGCCCCCGACAGCAGAAACTCAGGGCTCCACCTTCCTTTCCTGGTCTTTCTCCAGGAGGGCAGACAGACAGCTCCATGTCCAGATGGGCAGGTGGACATCAGCAGTCACCTGCTCGGCCCCCAGGTGGAGGGACCTTTCTCCTCCATGCTCAGCTTGCCTTCAGCTGGGCCCATCCTTCCCCGAAGCTGGCCTGGCGCACCCAAAGGACACAGGCCCAGGATGTGCAGTGTGATTCATGGATAGAAAATACCGGTTTTTCACTGCTACGCAAATGCAGCCTGGGTGGGGTTTAGGTAAATCCGGATGTGGACACTGAAAAGGAGGGCAAGAATGCTCCTCTTTCCCGTGTATTCCACGCGGCCCCCCGCACCTCTCATTAGAGGAAACTCGAGTCGCCCTGGGTGAGAAGGGGCCAGCAGACATTTGGGTGGCTGACGTCCCCGTACACTTGCAGATTAAAAAGATACCGATCTCCGCTTAGTTCATACCAAAACTTATTTCTCACATCATGAGGCAAAGACCAAACGGCCTGCTGGCTCAACACCAGTGTTTGCTCAAATTGCTTCATCCTGAACAGAGTGAAGTCATGGTGAATGCCTCTCTGCCCCATAACCCACCAGGCCCGAGCTTCTAGAACAGAAGAAGAAAGAAAGGGGTGGGAGTGGGGCTACGATATCCGAGTGCTTGAGAACCACCCAGAGAACATGCCTCCAATTTCCTGATGGCACAGCCTGTGTCTACCTGCCCCACGGGACTGCCCTCAGAGCCTGGGCTCCAAAGAACACGTGCTGGTATGCAAAGGTCACTGGGTCACCGGGACTCAGAAGCCTGGATTGCAGAGCGGCCCTGGACCTCATAAGCTGTGAGGCTGACCCAAAGCACAGCCTCTCTCTGAAGCTCAGTTTTCTCACTGGCAAAAAGAGGGAGGAGAGTGCTATCCACTGACCTCTCCGGCATTTTCGAAGTTTTTTGCAAGCAAGCCCACACTGAACAAATGCCCAGCATTAAAGGTGCTGGGGGGACCAGCATCCTGTACACGCCACGGGCAGCCAACCTCAGCCGGGTGTGATGGGGAGACCCAGCCCGAGCTCCGAGCAAGGGGGGAGCTTCCGGTGGGCTCCCCATGGGAGCTGCTGGATTCACCTGCTGACAATATCTGACCTCGAATCAACGACCACAAAATGAAAAACACTGGGTTGTACTGAAATATAAATCAATGATTTCTTTTTGTGAGTTGTGAGCAGATGAAAAGCAAAGGTTACATGTATCACAATGCCGCTGGGAAAAGCCCAACTTGGGGACTTAAGACATGCTTATCCCATTTCAGACACTGTTGCATCGACTTAGACCTTTTTTTGTGGTCAAGATGAAACATTTTAGTGGATACTCTGAACACCTGAGACCTAATGGAAGTGTTAAAAATTAGGAAAAAAAAAAAACAACAAACCAAAAAGAAGAAAAATACCAGCATTTGGCCTTTGGGTTAATGACAAGCACAATGGATTTTTCTGGACCCCAGGAGTGGGACCCCTGGTGAGCAAGTCACAGATTCTCAGGATTCTGTAAACTGCCTGTACTGGGGGTTTCCACAGTGACCATCTAGCCCTGGAGTGACAAAGGACACTTTGGGGACGGTCACCAGGAGGGAGGGAAGGAAGCCTGAGGGCTCAGTTAAAAGCCCCCCTGCCTCACCCCTGCAAAGGGGCTTCCGTGTAAAACAATGTTTCAACAAAAGCTAAAAATATTCTAAAATGTTCTAAACCCCTTCGCATTACACTAAGAATAAAATCCAAATTCCTTTTAGTGGCTTACTAAGCACCCCCCTCCCCCTCCCCACCACCTCTCCCAGGCCACCTGGGTCTTAGTCCTTCAGCGGACAAGCCCCTTCCTGCCCTTGGGCTCCCTGCGCTTAACTGCTCCTCTTCCTGAAAGCATGCTGCCTCCGCTTTGTTTGCCTGGCTGTTTGAGACTGGCTGCCTCTCACGAAATCCTCTTCATTGCCTTCATGGCACGTGTTTCAGTCCGAAGTCATCTGGACGTCAGTTTTCTCCTGGTTTCCCCAACTAGCGCCCGAGCTCCGTGAAGGCGGCGGGGCTGTGAATCTGGCCCAGGGCTGCCCCCCCAGTGCCCCGCCAGGACCCGTCCAGACCAGAGCCTCTCGGGGCTCAGTGATGAACGGCAGTTCCTTCTCTCTAACTCTGGTGACCCCATGCAGCTGTACACCCCTTATGCTAACCGAAATTACCTTCTGCTCACACTTAATTCAAATAGCACTTTCACAGACTTAACCTTCAAAACTACACTCTGACGCCTTTTCGTGGGTTGCTGCAAAGTCTCTGGCTCTGGACCCGTTTGCCTTTAAGTCACTGAGTAAGCCTGGACTCGTCAACTCCTGGCTTTTGATTGCTCTTCCAGAAAACGAGGGTGTTTCCAGCCGCAGGTCCAAGGCCCCTCCCACCTTGAACAACCACGAACATTTAAGACCCTGCTTGGCAGACACTGATCCTTTCTCACAAAATGCTTTAGGAGATGTTTCCATGATAGCTGCTTCCATGTAAGGAGCATACCAAGCCAGATAGTGGGTTAAGTACTTCTCATATTCTGTCCCCAACCTGTAAACTACCTGGCTACAGAAATGGAAGATTCTTTAGACTGAGTGACTTGCCCAATGACCACAGAAATAGTAAGTGGTAGAACCAGTTCGGGAACGTTAAGTCTGTCCAACAACAAAGGCCAGATGGCGGCCTCCTCACCACAGTGCCTCATGGAGAGCAGGCCTACACACAAGGCCGGGCCAGCTCCCACAGGAGTCAGGCGGGTAAGGGAGGCAGGTGTGGGATAGGCAGTGGGGGGGCCGAGGGGAACCTGAGAACCAGAACCCCGCCATCTTAATGGGGCAGCTGCAACTTATCTCTCATACAACTTTTACCGAAGAACCTGGAGCCCAGTGTTTCTTGGTCATCTGATTTTTTTTCCTCCCTCAAAATGTAAGAAATTTGATTCTTCTGTAAAAACTCCCGATTCTACAAAGTTCTGGTGGCTTATCAAGAGATGCAGAGGCCACGGTGCAGGTCTCTCTGGAGAGTGGGCGCCCACGTCTGGCGCCTCTGATCTATACTTACTCTGGCCGGCACAAGGAATTACCTATGAAAGTTGCCTAATCTGTCCCTTCAATTCTCGTAAGATCTTTTGCAGTCACACGGAAAAATAACGGCAACAGGAGTGCAGTGCGTTTGGGGGCTATTATGCAGAACAGCATTTTGTGAAGCATTTTCTGTGAACCACTAAGTATTCTTTCTCTGGGGTGAATTCTAAAGGTCTGCTCCCAGAGCACACTGAGGGAAGAGATTTGATCAAGGCATGCAGCTTTTTTCCTGATGCTAGAAGAAGGTTGCTTAATAAATGCATTCCTGACAAGTTAGCTCCAGGCCTGACTTAAGAGGTATTGCTCCCGAGGAGCAAACCTGCTGTTCCAGCCTCCTCCATGTCCTCGAGTCCACCCTTTGGGGTAACACTGAAATGGCAAAAAAAAGAAAAGAAAGAAAGAAAGGGAGGAAGTACATACGAGGACCTAAGGCGACAGAAGTAAGAAGTAAATCACTCCCTGCATGATTATGTTGTTTGGAAATCCACCCTCATAAAATGAACAACAGTTTTCATAGTGATCACCTCAGGGATCCCAGGAAAATGCCGTCGGCCTGAGTCATGAGTGCTCTGCTGCCTGGAGAGCCAAGCTTCTAGAATCTTCTGAGCTTTGGTTTCCTTATTTCTAGGCATGCTTTCCTAAGGGATTTTTGGGAGGATTATATGAGATAATTTGTGTGAAAGTTTCCAGCAGATAGCAAGTAATCACACTTGTGGGCATTCTAGTTCTTATCTGCAGTGGTTCTGAAGGCATACAGACAAATGGTTTATTGCACTGTGTCAGGATACGTGATGACATTTGGGACTTGGAGGTACCATGTATGTCTTAAAAAGCCATGGGTATTAAATTTGGGGAGGAAGGGAATACTGTATTTACTCCATGATATAGGAAGTTTGGTCCGTTTTTCTAATGCTATAGAAAAAGTTCAATTAGCCTTATAAGTGACGTGCCACCACCTGGAGGCTATAATAATTATATTACCTATAAAGAAATTGCTTAAAAGAAAAAAAAGAAATTGCTTAAATCACAGCTTTCCTTGTTTTACACATCACAGCCATGATCCTACTCTTTACTTTTTTTCCTAGCATAGTTATTTCTATTTTTTTTTTTAGGTTAACCAACTAATGTCAGATGTTTGTTTATTCACAAAATACCACATTAAGAGGCATTTGTTGGGGCGCCTGGGTGGCTCAGTCGTTGGGCGTCTGCCTTCGGCTCAGGTCATGATCCCAGGGTCCTGGGATCGAGCCCCGCATCGGGCTCCCTGCTCGGCAGGGAGTCTGCTTCTCCCTCTCCAACTCCCCCTGCTTGTGTTCCCTCTCTCGCTGGGTCTCTCTCTGTCAAATAAATAAATAAAATCTTTAAAAAAAAAAAAAGAGGCATTTGTTTTATATTGGTTCCCTTTTGCAAACATTTGCTGTTAGCTACAGAACTGAGATATTTCATGAATTTAAAAAAAAGATTGTATCTAGGGAAAAAGTGAAGTTTCAAAAGCAGCTTTTGAGAAGGAGAAAGGAAGAAAAAAATCTAATTACCAAAGATATGCACCAATTTGTGCAAAAGGAACACATAAATCTACCACCCTTGTGGCTTAAATGCATTGTGTGCATCTGAATTAAAAAGGATTTGGAGTTTAATGTCTAAAGTTTTCTTCAATGATTTGAGAGTATAAAAAGTGTCATTCCTTTTCTTTCAAAAGGTATCCTGTGACAGTATTTCTTCTAGTCTTGTCTTGCGGTAAAAGAAGTCTTTACAAATCTACATATTCGGTAGATTTTTCACTTAGGAAACTGAATTATAGTTCTATAGTTACAGACTTAGCATGAAAGCTGAAATACCCTTTATCCAAAACTGATCCCCAGCAACTCGGCTAGGGGTGAGGTTTAGTTATAGAGTACACTCATGTGAACTTGAAGTGAATGTTTTAGACAATGGATCTGAGGATGGCCTGACCCAGGAGTGTGAATTTACTGCTTTTGTTGAAAAATTCAAGAGCGCCTGGCTGGCTCAGTTGGAAGAGCATGTGACTTGATTCTTGATCTCAGGGTTTTGAGTTCGAGTCCCATGGTGGGTGTAGAGATTACTTAAATAAACATATGTTATTTATTTATTTTTTTAAAAAAGATTTTATTTATTTATTTGACAGAGAGAGACACAGCGAGAGAGGGAACACAAGCAGGGGGAATGGGAGAGGGAGAAGCAGGCTTCCCGCTGAGCAGGGAGCCCGATGCAGCACTTGATCCCAGGACCCTGGGATCATGAGCTGAGCCGAAGGCAGACGCTTAACGACTGAGCCACCCAGGCTCCCCAAACATGTGTTATTTATTTATTTATTTTGTATTATGCTCAGCTATATGCAACTAACGAATGGTTGAACACTACATCAAAAACTAATGATGTACTGTATGCTGGCTAACTGAACATAATAAATAAATATACTCTGAAAAGAAAAGTTTAGGCAACTTAAATATATTTAATCCAAATACACCTGACAGCTCAGAACCCAAAATAGCATTTATTTAGAAAGGTGGGATCCTGACTGGAATAAACTCGTTTAGGGAAGATTCCGCTAGAAATGAGACCTTTTCCCATAAA